ACTTCTCCTCTAAATGTATTATAAGAGGACTAGTATTAAGGTTGATTATGTTCTCATGTCTCCTTGTGCCTCAGTGTGAGTTCAGTCCCAGCGAAGTGGTCCAATGGTCCAACCACCGAGTCATGGAGTGGCTGAGATCGGTGGACTTGGCGGAGTATGCTCCCAATCTGAGGGGCAGTGGTGTTCACGGAGGGCTAATAGTGAGCATCTTTATTCAAACGATTAAAGACAATCATGAATCCAAATCACACTCCGCTCACTTTGCTTTTCCTGATAGATGTTGGAGCCTCGGTTTAACTCCGACACAATGGCCATGCTGCTGAACATCTCTCCTCAAAAAACCCTGCTGAGGCGCCACCTGAACACCAACTTCAATAACCTAGTGGGGGTTCAGGCGCAGCAGGAGAAGAAGGAGTACACCGAAGCAGCAGGATATTCCCCACTCAGCATCACCGCTAAAGTCAAGGTAAGAAAGCATGGAATGATAGATCTGTTCTAAAACACACCCAGTTCACCGATTTCCTTTTTAATGTGTGAAGAAAAACACCTTGATCTGTGCAGAGACCTCTGCATGTCAGCTCAGTTTAATCTATGAGCCCTTCTTAGTTTAATGCTGCAAACTGAATCGTGGACTCCCCAGCTTTTTCCTCTCCTTTTTAAGACGCTGAAATCTCAGCTTTGAGTCGCTCTGTTCTTCAATGAAACATGCAAGAATAATCCACCAGAAAACTTGAAATGGAAACATTTATGGTGCAAAACCTTTGATGTTTTTAAAGCTCCATGTTGACATAAGAGAGTTTAAATCACCCAGAAACAGATTTATGAGACAGATTTGAACTGTCATCAGTTAAAGAAATTACTAAAAGTTTTTTTTTTTTTTTATTTAAATTTGAAAGTAATGTATTTCGGAAAATTTGCAAATAGTAATAATAATGGTAGATTTCCAAAAAATATTTCAAACAACCACACAATAGCGATTGGTTACAGGTTGAACATTAAATTTAATTAAATCTTCAGTTCCAAACAAATCTTATTCATTTGAACATTAATAGAAGCTAATAAAATAAACAAATATATTCAACGTAATTACTTTGTCAATTTAACTATCCTGAGATCTAAGATTGGTTTTTATTATTGATTCATGTAAATTCGAAAAAAAATGGTCGTTAACGCAGGGTTCGAATCCTTTCCCACGTCCCTCCCCCTCTCTCAAAACCTCTCTCCTGTCAGCCAGTGCCGTAAAAATTACAGGCTGGTCTGTAATTGTAGCATCAGTTCTTTGTTAAAAGCATAGTTACTAGTGTTTAAATCTTAAAGGTATAGTGGAGGATTTTAACATCCCTGTAGCTGCCCACAAGCCCATTTCAACTTGTGCAAACTCTGTTTAAAAGTTGCCCTTTGCATCACTCGTACCAGCTTACTTTCCAAAAGCAGATTTGCAATTTTTCCCTGAGCATAGCAGACCTCTGCTACCCAGCCTGGACCCACAGAGAATGGTTTTATCAAATATGGAGCAGAAAGCCTTTTACCACAGCTGCACAAAAGTCATTAATCAAAGAGACCTTCAGAACCGGCCATTCTGCATCTGGACTGAAA